ATTGACGAAGGTACAAAGCTTCGCGTTTACGACGGATGTACCGATACAAACGACGACGGGGCTTCCCGTGTTCTTACGATTCCTGTCGGCTTTTGTGTTATATTCCGTGGCGATTTAATTCACAACGGAATGCCGTACAGCACCGCGAATTATCGCATTCATTGCTACCTTACCTACAAGTGGCTCAAATGGGAGCCGGATATCGTGACAAATGTTCTTCCTCCTCATTTCGTGTGCCAGTACTGTGGGGCTAAGCAACCAGAATCGAATCTCATTCGACAACATCGTCGGTATTGCTCTAAAGACCCAGACGCCTCAAAAAACGAGTTGACACGTCGTGCTCCGCCTAAAACGGTTCTGCAATGTACATGTAATGTGTGCGGGGAAATGTTAAACAATGACAGCTCCTACAGGACACATGTGAGTCGTGATCATCTCAAGAAGCGTAAGGCGGATTCGTAGAGAGAAGTGAATAAAAAAGTTTGGGCGCTTTTTCGGAATTATCTTCTTGTTAATTTAACTAAAGCTCGCGTATCCCCAATATCCGGATGGGATATTGTGCTCGTGATAGGTCGAGCTGTCTTGTATATTTGTACCGATCGAATTTGAAAGTGGAGGAAGTACTGTGACTGCAGGGTCGTGGTTGGTGGCTACCATAGGCGGTGTTGCTGGATGATTAAGATCGACCCGTTCAAATAACACTGGATCTCGCCGTGAGGTATAAGGTCGATTTCTCACACGTCGATCACATCGACGACGGCGTTGATGTAAAGCTTGTTCGGTGTACATAGGCTCCTGGATGCGGACAGGGAGAACGTGTTGTTGGTCACGATGAATCCACCAGTGCTTGTCAAAGTCAGCAGGACGCAAGATTCGCTGGCCGTTGGATTCAATGATTGATACCAAGTCGTGCACACAAGGACGACCATGATCACCTCGAAACCGGCCTGTGCATCCATCCCGATCGGCGCGAGAGTAGACAATTTCTCGCGCTTCACACCACAACTTTTGGGTCTCTGTAAGTGCCCACACCGTTATTACACGAGCTACCGCTACAAAGTGATTCCCCTGAAGTAATTAAGGTACCCGAGTTGAATTGCGCTCTGCTAAAAGACTAGTAGCAGATATTGCCCCTTGCCACCACGGAAGTAGCCGTAAAAACACTGTGTAGAGATCGTATCTACACCCGCGCAACCAGATCTTACACTTGGCATGATCTCGTTCAACAAAAGAGGTATCTCTAACTCCGAAGTGCTTGTAGCAATCGGCCCATGCTGCAACAATTTTGGTTTTGTATTTCCACTAGGGATTTTCAAGGTACTCGGCTAGATGAGGATTCCGACGGTGAAGACCTTGTCGTTTTACTTCAAAATCTGCTTCAGTTATTGCATCCACAGTGTCGTAGAACGATTTCATGAAAGAATCTGTCCGCCAGGTATTTTCATACTTAGGTTGGCCCGGAGCTGGATTCTGGACAGGAACTTGCCCAGGAACCTGACGGGTCTTGCTGAGTACATTCTTGCTCATATGCCAACGACAAATTATGGCTGGGACCCCAGGAAATACAAAATCGATAGCATTCATAGACGCCAGTTCTCGATCCGTAAGAAGGATACTCGGTAACGCAATGGTGTTCTCCTCCAAGAAAACTCGGTAAGTATTCATCGCCCAACGATAATCCTCTTCCCGCTCTCTTGGTAGCCGGCACTGCGCCACTGGAAGGACAGTGTTGAACCCCGTCAGGGAAATGATGTTAAGAAGTGGTAACTTGCACTTGTTGGTCTTGTAAGTACAATCCATACCCACGATATCTGGATGTCTTCTGTACTGTGCGAGCGTACCAGGATGCCCCCAAAACAAATATAACAATTGTTGAGTTTGGGGATCAGCCTCCCACCTATAGTAAAAGTCATGTTCACCCAGCGTTTTATAAAGAGCATCCATCACCGTGCGAGGCCATCTCTCGGCGCCGGGTCGCATTCCTCATGTTAGAAATATCTTGTGGAATAATACAAGAATTCGGATCCGCCTGAGCCAAACTAGCACACACAGAGCCTGGTGTGATCCCAACAGCGGTCTGGGCGTGAACAAGCTCCTGAAGTGAAGCCGCAGGAGGGACCTCAACAGAGGCAGCCGCACGACGACGATGGCTAGAGTGCACTCTGATGTCTTCCGACGGAGGATGGTTATGCACCCGGCTTCCATTGCGAGTGTGAGCTATCTCCCATGGACCCGCCGAATTCTCTTTAGACACTGCTTTAACAATGAGCTTCATTGGACATCTGATGCGAATCGACCCTCTCATTGGTCGTTGTCGTTCCGCATCAGTAAGGTGTTGCGTACATTTGGGCTTCCCTGCTCGGTCGCAATCCAATCCACGCTTCCAAACTTGGATAGGGGTAGAGTCAGTGTAGAAAGCACGACGCTTTGTTACGTTGAATCCATGATCTTTCGTCCACTGATGAATAGCGGCTATAGCTTCCGCTTCCGATGCATACGTCTTCTCTGGTGGTGGCTCGATGTTCACTGACGGTCTCTCAACTACAAGCAATTCGTCGACTGCATCCAAGCACAACAATCCCTCGTCATCGCATCCTGTACTGCGCGAACGACCATCACTGAGGTTGTATTGAGCCTGAACGGAGTCACTGGAAGACGCGGAAAAAGTGGTCTCGGCAGGGATCGTAGCATATAAACTTAAAGTCACAGCTAGAGAATTCACGTTGTCTGTCATCTTAGATGCCTCTGAACTGCTGGAGAGCTTGTATTGGATTGCGTAAGAGTGTTTTATTGAGTGCTGGAATGTGTTTTGGAAAGTGATGAGGACATGATAGTTTAGAAGGATCGTCCTCCATATAGATATCTTTTCCTTACGTTCTTACCCACCGGTAAGGACAAGAAGTTTTAAATATTGGGACGGACACGCCTCTGTGGGACGGACACGGCCACATTAGTATTAGATTTTGTATACTGAAATATTGCAACGGACACGCCGCTTAGAGACGGACACGGCTTGTAGTAACTCGATAAGATTATATGAAAAACTGCTGCTACAAAAGATTTTTTTGTGTCGTCTCTGCGCACAGTCTGTCCCATGGCCCTCCTCGGAATGGCCCTCCTTACTTTCACCCTTTGCACAATGGTGTACACATCGATGAGGGTCATGTGGTCGATACCTTATTTGAGGTCCGCTACACTCAGCAAAAAAACGCTAAGAAATTAAACTGCATAGGCGCGGCCCCAATGCTTTTGAGGACCCCAAGGAACCAGCAGTTATGCTCTCGCAAGACGTCCCAGCAACCGTCAAGACGTTAATTCGAGAGCATAATGAGCGTAAATCGGTGTGAGCGCTCCAAAAGGCGTTTTGAACCACCTAGCGAGGTTGCTAGGAATCCTGGAAAGCAGCTTAACTAGAGGGCGCCTACATATGGACAACATTTTCGGGGAGGGGAGGGTTCTAGCGTTAGTTACAGAGTGCTTATGTTGGTGAGATTGTGCCCACTGGCACCAATACTCCAGCGGTCCGCAGCGGTAACACGGCGGTTGTGCAGTGGACAACCACTCACAGATGTCATGCTAAGAAAAAAGAGTGAGGCCCTGGTTCTGGTGGTGGAACGGATGCTGTGAGTAAGTGGGTTAGGGAAAGTTTCGAGACGTCTGCACTCGTCCTGACGATCGGTTCTATCCGTTCTACATCTTGTTCAAGTAAGGCTTAAGCTTGTCTCTCTCTCTCTACCAACCAATCTTTCAGTGTAGAGCTCAAAATTGCTCACTTGGCATTTTGATGGAAGACCAGAACACCGGCGCGCACAGCACTAAGGGGACTTCGGAGCCCTCGGCCGCGCGGTCAGGCACGCCACCCAAAAAGGTGAGAGCGGCCAAGCGTCTCAAGTGGTCAAACGAGATGGTCGCAGAGCTCGTGCGTCTGCGCTTCGCAGACGGAGACGTAAAACGCCGACTTGAAGCGGCTCAGACCAAAACCGAGACTGCTCTAGCTTGGCAATACTTTGCAAGTGTGCTGTCGCAGTCTTTGGGAGTCGTTATCAACAGAGATCAGGTGATGTATCGCCATAACGTCTAATAGCTGGTGAGATTGCTAACAATTCGCTTAATTTGTACAGGTTTCACAAAAGTATCGGAAGTTAAAATGCATATATCGCAAGGAGAAGAGGGAAGAAGGAAAGACCGGCAACTGTGCTCGTTCTCTGCGTGAAATTGACGACGGTCTGTGGAGTATTTTGCACGACGCCTTCTCTGGCAAGGTCGGCATAAGTGGTGAGGTGCTGCTGGACTCCCATCTCGATGGCGGGGAGAGCGACAGCTCTGTGGTGGACCACGATTCCGGTGATGCAGACAGACCTCCTGCAGACGCGCCTGGAAAAGGAAAGTTGTCTCCAATTGAGAGTCTAGCTACATCAATGCGGAGCGGCATGGAAGCAATTGCAGCTTCGCTTTCAGCACGCACGTCGCCAGACGATGGATTGGGAAGCCTAGTCGCAACACTAGAACGGCACCACGAGGAAACTCGACGTTTTCAAGCTATTCAATTGCAGCTATTGCAACAACTTTTAGCGCGTAAAAACGCATAATACCGATCAACCATCCTGCTAATCCGAGTAAAATTGTTGGGTTAATCTACGACATGAATATGTCTGCTAGATCGTCTCTTTTAGTTTTTTCAAGTCTGTGCGAAAATGACTGCTCTGCAACAGAAAGACCTCCATCGTCGTCTCGGACTTGTAGTTCTGCACGGTGCGGATCCTCGCCATTTACTGCACAGCTGTCGTTCACAGCCAATAGCATGTTGTGCAGAACGATGCAGCTATATATCACTTTGCAAATGCGACCGGGTGTCTTCTGTTCTAGCTTGGCTAACAGAATCCTGAAGCGATTCTTGAGGCGGCCAAAGGCGCATTCTACTGCAATCCGAGTGCGGGAATGAACGCGATTGTAGATACGCTTCCGACGTTCATCAGCGGCTTCAGATTCAGGGTAAGGAGTTAGCATGTGCCCCCATATTTTGTAGCCAGCATCGGCCAGCAAGTGCTTTCCTGGCGGGACAAATGTGGACAAGCTACCACAGTACGAGAGCGTCAGTATATCATACACAGAGTAAATAGTACCAAAATGACGCACCACTTTCTAACACCCGACCCATTCCATAATGACTGGTCATTGTTGGAGCCCGAACGAATGGATATTGAGCGGAATGCTCCGGTATGATCAACAACCGCTTGGACGTTGACAGCAGGAAATCCTTTGCGGCAATACCAGCCCTCAAAATCAGGGCGTGGTATAGCAATCAACGTTCCATCCACCGCTCCAACCACACCTGGGAACCCCGCAACCGCGAAAAAGCCGGCTTCTAGAGAGGCTACTTCGCTAGCTTTAGGTAGAATCACCTTCGTAGCCGCCATGGATCTGAGTACATCTAAACATTCATTGATGTAAACCACGGAACGTGGGCGCGAAATTCCCAGCACCGTGGCGGCCTCGTCCATGGTTCCTCCCTGCGCTAGGTAAAGTATTGTTAGAGCAAATCGCTTAACCAGAGGGCACTTACTGTTGGCTGCTGGCTTGCGTTTACACGCGGCGTGGAATTCGCGGTACAACAGTAAAAAAGATTGACGATCACACCGTAGTTTCTTACGAAACTAATTCGTGCTAGGAGCCGCCATTGCATCCTCAAACATAGTAGTAGGGAAGGTGGAGACACCAGTAGGTGGACGCCTGCAACAACGCTTGTCAAACGTAGCAGCAGCTAGAGATGCTGTGCAAGCACCGAGTAGCACTACGACTACAGCGACGGCTTCGGGGTCCATTTGAAAGGGTGACTTGCGTGAAATGAATGGTATATAAAAGCAAGGCCGCTCTAGCACAATTGTGCTCCACCCAGAACACCTCTGTTCGTTAGGTCTGATCTGCTGCGTGCCAGAACGCAACAGACCCTAATTGGTACACAGTACCCCTGCATTTTTGACCAATAGAAGAAGTTTTGGTTTTCAGTACAGAATGCATGCTTGTACCTGAACAAGGGCCTCAGGGACACAACAATCCCCAAACCGTATTCCTTATGTGATTGGCGACAGTCAAATTCTTGAGGTGGTCAAGCCTTTCTGCCAGCATAAAAGATACCTGCATAGAAAAACTGTTTTACGTGCTCAAAATTGTATTGGTCGCCAAGCACATAAAGCGCGACGACACGAAATTTAAATCAATTTGATTGGCTGCTGGATTTGTCGCTAATGACCGAGCGTCGCCAATCACATAAGGACTACGGTATACCAATTCTAAAACCATTGAAATTAATCAGTACATTCTAAAAAGAATATTTAAATTAGGAAATGTGTATGAGCATTTATTAAAAGCAAATCAGTAGACCACGAGACAGCATGTTGGAAATTGAATTTCATTTTGTATTAAACTGAATAAATTTCACAGTATTGCTACACACATACTGTAAAATTTAATCATTTTAATACAATTTGAAAATCAATTTTCAACAATTGAAGGGACGTTGAAGATGACGGGACGCGATGAAGTCTCCACATGGGGAGCACGCCCTCCCTCGATTTCCGGCCCAAGTGCGGAGCTTGAGAAGCTCCTGGCGGCTGCCACTGACTCAATTCACGGTACATACAACGCTGAGACGATGGTGGACGAACTGTTAGCGAGCACGTGGGAGCCAACAGACCCGACTTTCGACACGAAGAGCAGTCTAACCTCGTTCAGCCAGCACACGTCATCTCTCAGCGCTCTCCAAAGCGTATTGGCTGCGTCGATTGAGCGTCTCGTCCAGCACCGCAAAGTGGTGTCTAACCGTATTGCAGAACTGGAACAGGACAGTCGACGAGTGAGCAGCAAGTTCCATGAGGGACTGCTCAAGCCGGATATGCTGCTTAATGTAATATTTGTAGATAAATATAACAGTAGAATCTACAGACTGACAGTGTCTTTTTATTGTTTTTTAAAGGATATTTGTGCTCAGATGGAAGACTTGGAGGAGAGATTTACTAAAGTGAGTTCTTCGGCCGTGACGATTGGAGATAAATTGTCGACGTTGGATACGGAGCGGTCCCGAGTATTGGAGACGGACGAGTTGATGGAGGCGCTATTGGCTCTGCACGACCCCAGTAGCAAGTTGACCAAGTCAAGTAACAAACTTTTCAATACACTACACGACCCCAACCAGCTGCATGAAGCTTCACGGATTATCAAAAAGATGAGTGCGTTTTCCTCCGAGTTGTCCCCAACGTCCAAGTGGATCTGGCTGTCAAGTTTGAAGACTTTGACAGCCTCGAACAGTTCACTGTTCTCGATATGGATCCATATGATATGATCCTGGGCATGCCCTGGCTTGAGAAGCACGAGCCCTGGATCGACTGGAGAGGCAAGGCAATCGGTGTCAGGCGCCCTGCGCAGTCCGACAGAGCATTGGTGAGTCATGTATCCACCTCTGTCAGGACCCCCGGGGCGCCCGCGAGGGCTGCCAGGGTACCAAAGCATCCGGCAGATGCTTGGGAGTCGTCGACGTATATGACGACTCCGAGGATGCTTTGTTGGTGGCCGCGCCCAGAAGAGGCGCCGGCCAAGTGGGTAACTTAGGTCCACAGGCGGGTAACTTAGTTCCGCAGACAGCTGCAGCTGTCATGAACACTGAGAACAGCGTGTTCAGAGTGGGTAACAGAGTTCCACTCACGGTCGCCCAGACCATAACTGAAGAGGAAGACGTCAGATACGCTTCCTGTGTGGGTAACACAGTGCCACACGCGGTCGCCCAGACCTTAACTGAAGAGGAAGGCGCTGAACACGCTTCCTGTGTGGGTACAACAGTACCACACGAGGCCACGAGTGCCTCGGATGTCGTAGCGACGACATCCCTAGACGTGGGCAGCAAAGCTCCCCGTCACAGACGCCGTCGGCAAAGACGCCGCCGCCGCCTAAAGTCGGATCCGAACTTCGTTCCGATCGACGTCGCCTCAAGCGACTCGGAGTCCAGGGCCCGGGCTCCTCCGACAAGGCCGGTGGAAGAGTGTTATCACTTCTTCGATGGCGAGACCGGTTTATTCGTCAAGGCATCTGGTGTCCACTTAAAACCGTTGCCAGAGGTTGCAGAGATACTGAACCTCGAGGAAATGACGGCTGAGTCTTTCCTGGCCAACCTCAAGGCTGGAGAGATTGCTGAGATGGTACTCATGAGACCTGAGACCACTCAGGAGGAGCTGAACTCCTCCTCTGTCTTGGACGAGAACGTCCTGGAAGACATGAACAAGCAGCGTCAGGCGCGCTTGGGTTCTGAGATTCTCAAGAACCCCAAGAATCCGGTGTATCCTTTGGTGACGGAGTATGCGGACGTGGTGAACAAACACCCACCGACCCAACTCCCACCGGATCGAGGCGTACGGCACGAGATTGATCTCGTGCCCGGCACAAAGTATTGTGTCACGAGGCAATGGCCTCTCCCGCGCGAACAGTGCGAGGTCATTGATGCCTTCTTCGTCGTGAAAGCGAAGGCAGGCATGGTGCGGGAGTCGAAATCCCCGCACTCGACGCCGACTTTCTGCGTTCGTAAGCCGAACGGAAAGTGGCGTCTGGTTCACGCTTATAACAAGCTGAACAACGCAACGGTGCCGGCCCAAACACCGATCCCACGAAAGGATGTGTTGTTAAACAACATGACCGGGAGCGTACTGTACAGTGCGCCGGATTTGGTAGACGGATACTACCAAATCCTGATGCGCGAGAGCGACATCCCGCTCACCGCGGTAAGCACTCCAAGCGGCATGCTTTGGGAGTGGCTCGTCATGCCGCAGGGCTTGTCTAACGCCCCGGCGACGTTCAATCGCCTGGTGACGCAATTGTTCCGCCCTTTGCGTACCTTCGTACAGACGTACTTCGACGACATTTTCGTCCATAGCCGTGCCGAGGGAGGCAAGACGGCCATGGAGGTGCATCTAGGACACCTCCGTCGAGTGTTGGACGTGATGCGAGCGAACAAGCTCTACGCCAACATCGACAAGTGCGTTTTCGCGTCACCAGAGATCAAAGTTCTCGGTTGCTTCGTAAGCAACGTGGGAGTTCGAACTGACCCAGACAAGGCCAAGGCCATAGCAGCATGGCCGACGCCCCATTCCCAGAAGGATCTTCGAAAATGGTTGGGCTTGGCCAACTACCTTCACAAGTACAGCGCTGGGTACGCGGGCTTCGCTAAGCCCTTGTCGAGCCTCCTTCAGAAGGACGTCGACTGGCGCTGGGAGCAAGAGCACCAGGATGCTTTTGACAGCATCAAGGCCAGTCTCCAAGAGGCCCCTGTCCTGGCTCTGCTGGACGAGACGAAGCCGTTTAGCGTCGTCTGCGATGCCTCCGATTACGCCATCCGGTGTGCATTGCTGCAGGACGACACGGCTGGACAGGAACGAGTCATCTCGTTCCAGTCCCGGCAGCTCAAAGCCGCCGAGCGGAACTACCCTGTCCATGACAAGGAGCTCCTGGCAATGAAATATGCCCTTGTGAAGTTTCGTGTTCACCTTCTGGGCTCTAGTCCCTTTGTGATCTACACAGACCACGCGTCCTTAAGGACGGCGAGTAACTCGCCTCACCTCTCCCAAAGGATGGCGAGGTGGCTATCCTTCTTCGCGGAATACAACTTCCGCGTCGAATACAAGCCGGGCAAGCTCAACGTGCTGCGGACGCCCTCTCTCGGCGTCCCGACTATGAGTTGGACCACATCACGCGGGTGACAACGGATCTATATGATCGGATACCGCATGGCGTATCGGGACGATGAAGGCTGTCGCGCCTATCGTCCAAGTTCCCTTAAGGCCCGAACGAGCGCCGAAAGTTCGACTGGCTCCTCGTCGCGACAGCGCTCACGACTTCCACCGATATGGAGTTTGAAGGAAGGCCCTCCTCTATTATCGGGTGGAGCCCACTGATCCTCCACGGGTGGTCGTTACCAACGACGAGGATCTGAAGCTCGAAGTCCTCGCGGAGGCGCATGACGCGCCCTCCAGCGGCCACTTGGGCCGCGAGAAGACCTTTCTGTCGGTCTCTCAGTCCTTCTGGTGGACCCACATATACAAGTGGGTCGCCCGGTACGTTACGACATGCGAAACATGTCAGCGGGTCAAACCCGCAGGGCACCCTTCGGCTCCACTACAGAGCCTGCCCGTACCGGCTGATTGCTGGAAGTCGATGAGTCTTGACTTCATCTTTGGGCTTCCCGCCGACGGACACGGCAACACCGGAATTTTGATGTTCGTGTGTCGGCTGAGCAAGATGGTACATCTTGCTCCAGTTCCCGTCACTGTAACGGGCGAACAAACCGCAAGGTTGTTCGTCGATGGCGTGTTCCGCTATCACGGTCTCCCGGAGACGATTGTCTCAGACCGAGACCCGCGGTTCACTGCTGCGTTTTGGAAAACGCTGTTCCCTTTACTGGGAACTCGTCTGCAGATGTCCACTGCGGATCATCCGCAGACAGACGGCCAAGCAGAGCGCGTCAATCGAGTGCTCGAGGACACTCTGCGCAGTGTGTGCGCGGCAGCGCCACGTACGTGGTCGACGCAGCTTCCAGTTGTTGAGTTTGCGCTCAACAACGCGGTGCACACGTCCACGGGGTTCACGCCGTTCTACTTGAACGGCTTCCGCCACCCCAGAGTGCCTCTCACTCTTCGAGGAGACACTGACTCCTCTATTCTAAGTGGGGGAGAGGCTCGGAAAGCCCTTTCCTCCCAGGTCTCGGATGTGAGGCCAGTTTCGCTGCGGAAACAGGTGGAATCCTTTATGGATACCAAGCTGAACATTGTCAGCAGGGTCCGCGATGCCATGGCAGCGGCCCAAGATAAACAAAAGGAGTACTCGGACAAACAAGGAAGAGGAAACTTAAGTATATTTGAGATTGGTGACTTAGTGTTGCTAGACACGAGGAACCTACCTCTAGACACTGTTAGATCTGTCGGCAGCAACAAACTGAAGCACCGCTTCATCGGACCTTTTGCAGTCCTGGCCAGACATGGTGCGTCGTACACCATCGACCTGCCAGAGTCAATGACGACGCACCCGACGTTCTATGTCGGACGTCTTAAGCGGTACTTTGACCCGCAGGGGGTTGCTGACTCGCAGACCCCCCCTGACCCAGCTCCTCGAAGCGAGGGCCGGTCACAGTCGTCGACGAGGGCGTCGGAGCAGGCACCCAAGCCTCGGTCGGGACGGCAAGACTGCGGTCAAGTCCGTACGCCGGAGGGGCTCCATACGAACGGACCCCGGCGCCATACGCCGAGTACGCTGAGTACGCCGGGTACGCACCATACGCGTACGTCTGGGAGGGTGCCGCAGGCGGCTCCGGACGTGGCAACAAAGCCTAGATCCGTCGAATCATGCGAAAGGCCTCGTCCAGATCGGACGAAGAGGCCCGGCGATCCACCCGCAGGTGCAGGCTCGCAACCTCTCGCTCCACCAGGTCCAGGCGATTCGCAAGAGGAGCGAGCTCGCCCTGATTCCCGGCCTGGGCGGCAGCATTACCGCCAGTCCCAAGGCCAAGTGCAATCTCAAGCACGAGGACACGCTGACGGAGGCGGTCAACCTCAGGGCCCTGTGTCGGACCCGCAGTCGGAGCACTCGGACGGGAGTGGCTCTCGGGAGGCGCCGAGTACTCGTACTCGTACGAGGGCACCTCCGCCCCTGCTTGACCGGAATGGAGAGGTCCACTTCCACGTGAAGCGGATCCTCCAGGAGCAACGGCGTCGCGGTAAGCGACAGCTCCTCGTGAAGTGGAGGGGTTATGCCCACTCCGAGAACTCGTGGGAGCCGATTGAACGGCTCCGGATTGACTGCCCGAAGGCTGTCGCAATCTGGGAACAGAAGCGGCGGCAGCTTCATAAGTAGTCCGGGGCTTCTTGCCCGAACGGGGTACGGTCGATGAGTACATACCGTACCCGCGCTCATCGTGAGCGCTAGAAGCCGCGCGCTTCAGGATGTCCCTTGGCAGCATACGCTTGCTGACCAAGTGGTCAAACCTCACACGAAGATCACGCTGGTCCAGGATGTGGGACAGCTGCTAATCTTCATGGAGTTCCCATAACTCCGTGGGCGAGTACTTGAGAGTCTCCACCCACGCCCAGAACATGTCCTCACAAGAACTCCACGTGGGACAGTTCTCGGGCATAACCCAGGGGTATCCCCAAACAGGATAGAGACCACCCCGGGTCTCGGGCTTCTTACGACA